ATAAAACGAACTATTTTCGAAAACAAAACTCCTTTCTCATTTTTCAATTCGTTTCTCTTTTTTTTCAAAAATTTGGCAGAGTTTCAGCGCTATTTGGACACTGGTTTTTCTTTAAACAGGTGATTCACTCCCTTAATCCTCTACACTGCTATTTATTTCCCAAATTCTCTCATTTCATTCCAAAGCCGGTCAGCATGCAAATCCGAAGCAAATAAATGTNATTCTGGGTTCGATCCCCAGCAGAGTCGCCAGAGCTGTCACACCTCCTTTTTACCTACACCCCCATAAGGGTGTAAAGGGAGTTTTTCCAATTTAAGTAACAATCGAAACGGAATTATTTTTATTTTAAATTCAGAGTCGCCACTTGGGATAATTTATGGTGTCCCAAGTCACCGGTTTAAATCCCAAATCGAGGAAAAGATTGACTCTATTATCGGTCCGCGAACACAGAAATCCGGGTAAGGAATTCTGTTAACCTGGGAGAAAGTGTTAGGCATTCCCGAGTTCTGTGGTTCTAGCACGGTCGCTCAACTGTTATAATTGGCCTATTATCTGATTTTAGTACATGTTTAGCCTATGATACAATTTTAACTAATTAACCGCTTTAAATCATTTTTAAGAAGATTGCAATGTTACTAAAACATGTCTTGAATCACGTCACATAAATGCACCCGTGGTCTTTGACATATTTTAATATTGTTGGGATATGGATTTGGGTCACATAAATGCGCACCCGAATTTAGGAAGGTAACTTTACTAAAATGGCGCGCCTAGGGCAACTACGCGTTAGCAACTTTGCGGGGGCCATAAAAATTAGCTAAATGGCACGCCTCGAATTCTAAGGACTTTAAAAGAAACAATTAAGCAAGGGTCACGCATTTCAAGAGTTTTGTTTGGCGTAGCACACCTCAAATCCAATTTTAAAAGGGAATTCAAATTACATTTGGAGGGTCATAGACTATTCATGTTACATAATATGGCTTGCCTTAATTATTAAAGGGCTTGGCTAACTGATTAAAAGGCATAGGAAATTAGCAAATCAAATCCATGAAACCGGGTTAAACCAAATTGTAACGATGAGGGCTTGGGCCAGTTAAGCAAAACGCATATGCAAGGTTTACCATTTTATACCTCCGATTGCATTTTAAGATTTTGGGCCTAGATTGAGACCAAACTCTTAACGTGAGATGAATGTCCAAAGACACACCTCCAAACAAACTGAGCAAGCCATAACTGGCGTCAAATGGGCCAGCCTCAGATCTGGCTCGAAAAGTAAGCCCATGTATCAACAACAGGTTACTTTCTTTGCAAGAGACCTCACCGCCCAAAGCTCAATGAACTCAGAACCATTTTTTTTAAAAAGACTAACGGTCATAGACTCATTATCGAAATTAGGCTAATGCAAACAACCATAATTAACAAGTGAAACATGTATTGACAAATTTCAACCCCATCCAATTGCTAATATACCCCATTTGATTAGCTATTTCAGAATGTTATTTAAGCATAACACATATGTCATATCCTCTTAAATGAATCATACAACAAGGTAGCCCTAACGAAATCTTTTGCACCTAAATTCCATAATGAGTTATAAGATACAATTAATGGCTCATTTAACACATGCTATGTATGGTTCAAAGTATTATGAATCACCTACGCTTTAACAGAATCATATTTAATCCTAAAGTGAACATACAGCATGTAGGAAGAACATGAATCAGAAGACATTCATAAAGGAAATGAGATTAGGCTATAGACCATTAGACTACTATTAAAACTTCAGGATTATGTTTCCATTTCAAATCGTCAGTTTGAGTGTCACATTGTATGAGTCTCAAGAACATGTACCTGGAATTTGAAATGGAAAAAGAGGTGAGGGAACAGTAGGCAACAACAGAACTAGAACTTCAGCAGCAGGAAATATCCAGTAAAACCAATTTCAAACCAGAAACAGGATATGAAACAGTCTAAAAAAATAGTTCAATCGAACAATCACCCAACAAACTTCAAACCAAACCTTTACAAACCCAGATTTAATCCATTTCCACCCCAGATGAATCAGAAATTGAAAACTTCAAAAATTACAAGAGAAGTTCAATGAAACAGTGATTTCATTGAAATTTTCAGATGTTTTTTTTTCTGGATTTGTTATCACTGAATTCCCTGACTTGAGTGTCAAGTTAGGATGCCTTTATAGGCAGGCTATTAGGGTAGCTTAAAGAAAATCAAGTTTGCACTTGGCCCCTTCTGAAGTTTTCATTTTAGCCTAGGTGCCCTTAGTTTAATTTTCAGAATCCAAATAGCCCCCCACCCCAGCTTCCTAGAAGCTTCCCTATTCAGTTACCATGAGATTTCCTAGACCAATTTCCTAGACTACCCCCCATGACCCTGAAAATTACCCCTCCAACCAAATACGGGTCAAGTTGACCCTAGGTGAGTTAATTCAAAGCCCAATCCAACCAAACGAGCCTGAAACCTAAAGGTACAAACCCCAGGCCCAAACAAAACCAAATTATCTTAGGCGAAAAGGAACAAAGCAATTCGAACAATTTCCAAACCGAAATGATGAACTAAAATTAACAAGTCGGAACTAATCTAATTAACAGATTAATTGTACTGATTAAAGAAAAAGGTTTTCTTAAAACTAACATGCATCTCAAAAACTAACCTTCAGGAACTAAACAGAATGGAAAGGAGTTCAGAAGAAGAGACTGAAGTAGAAGAGGAAAAGCAAACGGAGTAAAACTGGAGAACAAATAACAAAAGAAAAATAGAAATACCTAAACGTGCCTCGGACCGTGAAAGGTGGTGATGGATCTTTGAACCTTCATATTTTTGGCTCAATCTGAGACTAACCGTGTGTTTTTTTTTATCAAAACACACGGATACCATCAGAATGAACCTAAAACTTTAAGGAAACCCCGAATTGAAAAATTTGGAATTTTTAGGGTCAAGCTCTGATTCAAGATTCGAGAAGCTCAGGCAACATTCGAGGGGAATTGACCCGGGATTTGGGAAGAGGGGGTCAGGGTGGTTCTGTGGTGTGATTTTGAGGCGGTTTAGGTCGGCGCCGCCGGGCTGAGACGGTGGGGAAATAGGGGCAGCGGATTAGGGTTACTTCTGACCTCTGAAGCGAAAGGGTGAGAGAGACGATGAGGGGGGGTAGGCTCATTTAGGAATGTTATATACAGGGGGAATTAGTTCCGATCCGTTGGATCAGGAACTATCAACGGCTCAGATCAAGCCTAATAAAACGACGTCGTTTGGCTTTAGGGTGGGGCGGACCGGGTTAGGGGACAGGTATTGGGCTGGGTTAAGGGGTGTTTAACACTTGGGCCTGGGACAAACTCAATTGTAACAGCCCAAAAATCGGTTTTTCCTTTTATTTCAATTCTTTTTCTTTTTCAATTTCAAATCCTTTCTTAAAAATAAAATCCTAAATTAATTTTTTAAACTAAATTAACCTACCCAATTAAATTAAACACTCATCATAGTATTTGCAATAATTAATTAAATCCTAAATTTAAAGAAAATCATAAAATTCAAAATTAAGTAGTAAAATGCAAAAATGAACTACTTTTTTTGTGATTTTCATATTTTATAAAACAAACTAATTTACTAATTAATCTAAACAATGTAAAATTAAACCCTAAATGCAATGCGTGATATTTTGTATTTTTCATTAATTAAACAAAAATAAAAATGCACAAACAAATACAAACAATTATCAGAAAATGCCACAAAATTCACAAAAATTGCAAATAATGAAAAGAAATTATTTTGTTTTGAATTTATGGGAGTAATTCATGTAGAGCAAAAATAACGTGCTCACAATATTAATAAAAATTTGACTGTTTTGTATGATATTAGTTCTGTAATTTTGGATTAATATACAGAATTATGAACAGTACCGTTTTTTACTAGCGAAAAATATATTGTTTTTACAATTCTATCTAAACATGTTTTATTAAATAAAATAAAAAATTATTTTGAGTTATGAAATCATTTGTTAACAAACATCAGTATATTATGTGATTTGAACAAGTCAAAATAATTAAAAATCCTTAAAACGCTAAAAACAGAATTCTAGAAATTTTAGAATTCTAAAATTCTGTCTAACTCCGATTGACCTCAAATTTTGTAGGTTCATCGGAAACAACCCAACTTAAAAAAATCATCAACTTTGCTAACGATGTGCGTCGTTTTTTGGGCATTCGGGGTCGTTTAGATGGAGTTTTGGCCCTTTTTTCTATTTTGTGAAATGTATTTTAATAAAAAGAAAATATTAATAGAAATCTGTGATGGTAGGGTTCAATTCCCATTGTTTCCAATCATGGTTTACAGTAATATAATGAATTTATATGTTGTCATAGGTCTTCTTCCACATCGGATAAATTCATTATAGATGATTACTGTAGTTTTACCTCTAGTTATTTCATTACTTGTATTAACTCTCCAACTGAGTTACATGTTGATTGAATGAAACTTGAGTTTATAAAAGTGATATCTACCTATCTTAAATTAATAGTTTACTCTCCATCTGAGTTGGTCTTGTTAAATTTATGGGGTTAATATCTTACATCATTCATATATTTTGCATGAATAGTTAAATTTCCCTAACGAATCTAACTGTTCAATGAGCATGGTTATATGTGTAATGTGTTATTTTGAATTTAATCATTCTAAATACATAACTAATTATCTATTTAATGTAAATATATCTCAGATTAACTATGTCTGCATTCAACCCACTTACCTCAATTTTGAACCAAAACAAGTTAGAAGAACCGAATTATGTTGACTGTAAAAGGAATCTTGATATTGTCCTAACTATTGAAGGTTACAAATTTGTAATCACTGTGGAGTGCCCAGAAAAACCTGAAAATGATACTGATGATCAGGTTAAGGCCTATGACAAATGGGTTAAGGCTGATGAGATGGCACGATGTTACATTCTTGCCTCTATGGCGATTGTTTTGCAACATCAGCATTAGTCTATGGGGTCTGCTTATGATATTCTCGAAAGTCTCAAAGAGATGTTCGGTGAGCAAAATCGTGCAGCTAAGCAGACAACCATGAAAGCCCTTTTGAACACCAAGATGGCTGAAGGATCATCGGTCAGGGACCATGTTCTAAAGATGATGAGTCTTCTGAATGAGCTGGAGGTCCTTGAAGCTGTGATTGATAAGGAGTTTCAAGTTGAGATGGTACTGCAGACCTTTCCTGACAGTTTTCAACAGTTTCGCTTGAACTATAATATGAACAAAATGGATTTGCACTAGTGAAATTATTGAATGAGCTGCAAGCGGCATAATCTATTATCAAACAACAAGCTCCAGTTGTGGCACTTAATATTGAGAAAGCTTCGGTTTCTAAGTCGAAAGGCAATAAGAAAAAGAAGAAGGCTCAAAAGGTTCTGGTACCTAGTGGTGCGGCTGGTGTGAAAAAGCCCAAAGGCAAGTGCTATTNCTTGTTTAGCGGCTGTTTCTACCATGTTTTGGTGTGTAGATTCGGGAGCCACTAATCACATCTGTACTACTTTGCAGGGGTTTCAGGAAACGCGGCGGCTAAGTGAGAATGAAGTTTGCGTTTTTTAAGCCAATGGCGAGCCAGCACCAGCTTTAGCTTTAGGAGATATTAGAGTTTCGTTTAGTAGTGATAGAGTTTTAGTTTTAAAAGATGTTCTCTATGTACCTTCTATTAGAAGGAATTTGATTTCGGTTTCGAAAATAATGGATGTTGGTTATCATGTTTATTTTGCTAATAACTCTGTTGTTATTAAGTTTAATAAACATTTTATCTACACTGCTGCTAAAGTACATGACCTTTTTATTCTTGATATATCTCCTCATGTGCTACAACAACCAACAGAACTAAATAACATTATATGCCACATAAAAGAAAATGTATTTCTGAATTGAGTCAAACTTATTTGTGGCACTTACGTCTAGGCCATATAAATCTAAATAGGATTTCAATATTGGTCTCTGATGGACCTTTGAGTTCATTGAAAGTGGAGTCACTACCAACATGTGAATCCTGTTTAGAAGGTAAAATGACCAAGAGACATTTCCCCTCAAAAGGAAATAGAGCTAGTGATAAGCTAGAATTAATTCACTCTGATTTGTGTGGCCCTATGAATATACAAGCAAGAGGTGGTTTTGAGTATTTTGTGACTTTCACAGATGATTACTCAAAATATGGATATATTTATCTGTTGCGGCGTAAGTCTGAATGTTTTGAGAAATTCAAAGAATTTAAGACGGAAACAGAGAAACGACATGATAAATGTATCAAAACATTGCGATCTAATCGTGGTGGTAAATACCTTTATGCGGAATTCATAAAATATTTATCAGATAATGGAATTACATCTCAATTATCTGCCCTAGGAACACCACAACAAAATGATGTGGCAGAAAGAAGAAATAGGACTCTTATGGAAATGGTTAGATCAATGTTAAGTTATTCCAATTTGCCTTCTTCTTTTTGGGGATATGCTTTAGAAACAACAAACTACATTCTAAATTTGGTTCCTTCAAAGTCAGTACCTTCAACTCCAGTAGAATTATGGACTGGCGGCAAGCCAAGTTTATGGCATATTCGGGTTTGGGGTTGTCCAGCACATGTGTTGAAAGGGAAAGCGGATAAATTGGAATTAAGGACAGAAGTATGCATTTTTATTGGATATCCAAAAGGAACAAAAGGCGGTTTGATTTATTGTCCCAAAGAAAATAAGGTAATTGTTACGACAAATACCAGATTTTTAGAAGATGACTATCTAACAAACCATATTCCTAGAAGTAAACTAGTTTTACAGGAATTAAACAATGGAGTAACTAAAGACTCATCTCTAGAACATATCCCGGAAGCCAGTATTGACATACCATTGCATTATCGTAGTGGGAGAAATGTCAATACGCAGCAGATTGCACAAGAGCAATTGTTTGACATCTCACTACCCCAAAGTAGTGGGAGTAATGTTGAGCAACCTCAGATTGTTGAACAACCTGAATTTGTTATGCAACCTCCACCTGTAGTGACTAGTCGTAGTGGGAGAATTATTAGAAAACCTTTTCGGTTTGCGCTCTTGGGAGAATCTTATGATAGATCCCCTGAAGAGCCTAATACAAAATCTATTAATTACGACGAAGCACTACATGATACAGATGCTAATAAATGGGTTGATGCTATGAAATTTGAAATAGAGTCCATGTACTCCAATCAAGTCTGGGATCTTGTAGAACCACCTACTGGAGTCAAACCCATAGGTTGTATATGGATCTATAAGAAAAGGAGAGGAGTGGGTGGAAAAGTGCAAACTTTTAAAGCTAGGCTTGTTGCAAAAGGGTTTACTCAAAAAGAAGGGATCGATTATGATGAAACTTTTTCGCCGGTAGCCATGCTTAAATCTATTAGGATTCTCTTATCCATTGTTGCTCATTACGATTATAAGATCTGGCAAATAGATGTCAAGACCGCTTTTCTAAATGGAAGTCTTGATGAGTGCAACTATATGGCACAACCAGTTGGTTTCATAAAAAGTGGCAATGAGCACATGTTTTGTAAATTAAAGAAATCCATTTATGGATTGAAACAAGCTTCTAGGGCATGGAACACTTGTTTTGACGCATCGATTAAGACCTTCGGTTTTGATCAATGTGAAAATGAGTCTTGTGTCTATAAGAAGTGGAATGGAGATAAAGTTACATTTTTGGTTTTGTATGTAGATGATATTTTGCTCATAGGAAATAATGTGAGTATGTTGAATTCAGTAAAGGAATGGTTGTCCTCACGTTTCGATATAAAAGACTTGGGGCAGGCAACACATATCCTTGGGATCAAGCTTATGCGAGATCGCAAGCAAAGGATATTAGGCTTGTCCCAAGCACTTTATATTGATACTATTCTCACCAGGTTTAGCATGCAAGATTCCAAGAAAGGGTTTCTCCCCTTTAGACATGGAATCTCTCTGTCAAAAGATCAGTCCCAAAAATGACTGATGAGATAGAAAAGATGAAGGCGGTCCCTTATGCTTCTATTGTATAGAGTCTTATGTATGCTATGCTATGTACCTGACCTGACATCTGCTTTGTTGTTGGTATGGTTAGTAGATTTCAGTTAACCCTGATCGAGAACACTGGACTGCTGTTAAGCATATAATCAAGTACTTGAAGAGGACTAGGGATTATATGTTGGTGTATCACTCAGGTGATCTTGCACCCATTGGCTGTACTGATTCAGATTTCCAGTCAGATAGAGACTCTAGAAAATCTACCTCAGGATATGTTTTTACCTTAGGAGGTGGAGTCATAAGTTGGAGGAGCATCAAGCAATCATGTGTTGCTGATTCCACCATGGAAGCCGAATATATGGCTGCATCTGAGGCAGCTAAAGAGGTTGGTTGGCTCAGGAACTTTCTGAAAGAGCTTAATGTGGTTCCTTCGGTTCAAGCATCAATTATACTTTATTGTGACAATAGTGGTACAGTTGCAAACTTGAAGGAACCAAGAATCCATAAAAGGAGTAATCATATTGAGCGTAAATATCACTTAATTCGGGACATAACTTAGAGAGGTGATGCAAGAGTGTTGAAGATTACGTCAGAGAACAATTTGGCAGACCCGTTTAGAAAGAGCTTGACACGGAAGATTTTTCACAAGCATGTAGAAGGAATGAGTCTTAGAGTAGTAGACGCATGGTTATGAGTCTAAGTGGGAGATTGTTGGGATATACTATTAACCATGCGGTTTAGACATAGTATTATATTTTATTCTTTATGGAATAATTGTTTATTTAATTTATTCAATTCAATAAAGTACTATTTTAAATAGATCATTTGTTATATGTGTGTCCTTTTAGTTATGTAGTAGACAATTTAGTGTATGGAGTCTTAGCTCATGCACAGAAGATTAAATTGTTGGTTCTCATAATTAATAAACTATGTTCACAATCAAAGATATTGTTGGACAAAATATCTTGATGATTGTAGCACAAGATTATCGTATGATTTGTCTTGATTATGGGAGTAGTTTTATTCTAACTTCTTGTGCTAGTATACTCAGTGTATATTGAACGGACTAAGTAGAGAAAAGATGCTTTTGTACTGAATATATAAAATATTTTCTCTAATTTATTAAATGCGCTTATACTCTTAATCTTGATATAATTATTATGATCAATGTAATTTGTTTATTATTTTGATTTATCAAAAGGTACGACTCTGTTTAGAGTTAGTATATGCCTAATAGATTGGACAATAACGAATATTATTTGTGAATAATAATTAGTTGATAGAATCCATGACTCGGTTTTGGGTTTGATGATACCCCTTTATGTAAGCTTATAAGTTTTCATATGAAAACTCGGCCGATGGATTTTGTATTCGTCACATGAAATAGTTTAAGCGGAATTATAAAGGATTTAATTAGTTAATTGAATTAAATTTTCAGTGATTTAATTTAATAAACTAGTATTTGAAATCTTAACATGGGGAGTTAAAATAAATGTTAATGAATTTTAGAAATTCATATTGAGGAGTTCAATTGCAGTTTTTTAGTGGAATAAATTGCAATTAATTATAGTAAGAATTAATTCATGCTAATTTCGAATTAGTACTATAATTAGTAGCCTCTTATTATTTTTGTGGTCCCTGCTATACCTAGTAAAAACCTGGACAGACTTGGGTAAAAAGTAGCTTGGGAGAAAAGTTATCCTTTTGAGTTAGAATAGGATTCTACTTGCAGAATCCTACACGTTTTTGAACCCCTATTGTGGCTTAATTTCGGGTCTATTAAAGGAAGACTAGTTTCACTTAAATAACTTACTTTTCAGTTATATTGTTCTTACCCACCCAATAGCAAAATCGTCCAAGGTTTTACTAGGCAAATAGCAGAAGACTGCAGCCCTGGATTCTTGCTGTTTGGAAGGTTTGTGCAACTACTTCAAGAGGTTAGTGCTTTTAATCTCGTTATTATTGTGTTGTCTAGTTTACATGTATTTGATGCATGGTTTGTATGCTTGCTTCCGCTGCGCATGGTCTAACACTTGGGACATGTAGAATTAAAAATAATTTGTTCTTCTCCTAAATTTGAAAAAAATTGACTTTGGTGGATACAACTCTTTTTATTTCCCTTTATTAAGGATGGAGTTTGGCCATTATTTCATGTTTTGATTAGTTCACTAACTACAACCAAGCAATGGACAATCTAAAATTTCGTTCATTGCCTACCCGGCCTTAACCCTAAACCCTCCCCAAACACCAAGAAGAAGGGCAAATTGAGAACTAAAGAAGAAGTATAGAAATTGGTAGCATGCATGTACAGAGTATAGGAATTAAGAAATGTATAAGTAGGTGATTCCAATTATTAGATAACAAGAATTCCCATAGCTAGTTTTGTAACAAATATCATGGCCTGCATTACGAGTATGGCCCTTTTGTAAGGACATATCCGTTTCTCAGATTCAGACATAATCTCCAAATATCGTAGTACAACATTTTATGTCTCTTCCCTATAATAATTGACACCATATTACTGAAACCACCACTGCTTATTGCTGAACATGTTTCCAATA